ATAAAATATATATGTGATATATATAGTTGGTACTCATAAATAATATGAACTATTAATAAAAGAGTTATAAGTTGAATCCAACTTTGAATTGGATCAACTGGAAAGTCCACGTCTGCCACCACAATCCCATTTAGAATGGATTCATAATTCTCTTTATATGAAAGTATTGTACTCCATATGGCAATGGACTCACACGTGAAGTCACTACCTTAATTAACCTATTCCTACCCTATTTGGAAAAGGTTAGTAACTAAGGTATATGTCAATATATATATATACATGAAAGCTTTACGTAGGAGGGTTAGAGAAAAACGAAAGAAAAGGCCACAACATAAGAGATACGTTGCTGACAAGAAAATTGTCTTCTTGTCTTGCTACTACTACGCCGAAAGTTTTGAGAAAATTCTCAGCATAGTATTTTTTATCAATTTGTTCGCGTGTTTCATTGATCAAAAGGTTGATAGCAAGGGTCGGTCTCGGTGTGGATACGCATAGAGCGAGACTTTCTTCACCAGGTACGTCTTAGATCCGATCTATTGACATGTAAGTAAATTTTAAACACAAAAAGATCTTCCTATGATTGTTATTGTCTCCCGCTGCGTATTACGAACACCTATATGCAATCCTTCGCCCATGGCTAAAGCCAGAGAAATCATTAGAGAAGCCATTATTACAGATGGTGAAAATCCAAAAAAACACTACCGATAAGATGAAGAAGAAAGAGGGTGCTGAACAACTTGACGATGTTTTAGTTTTTCAAGAACTGTTCGGAGCAGTTCTTCCGTTTTGGGGCTCTTCGCCGGCGCCGGCGACAGGAAATTGAAAGGGGATTCTTTACGTCCGCTGAAAGGATTAACGTTTGAATTTTTTTTATTTTTTTATTTTTGATTTTAATTATTTTTAATATACCATGTGACATGGCATTTAAACATTGTTATTTTTTGACGTGGCAACCAACGTGGAGGAGATTGTATTACACGCACTGCAGCCTCCTGTCATAAGCGCTTATTATATACGGTTTGAAGGACCGGCATGACAAAGTGACACAAGTATAAGTGTTATTTATACTATTCTGCCTTCAAAAAAAAAGATAAAAGTAAAAAGTAAAGCAGGAGAAAGTAGTGAAAATAGATTTAGAACCCACGACCTCCAGCTTTACTTAAATGTCCCCACAAAACCACCCTTCTAGTCGCCTCTTTTTTTGTTTAGGGGCACACGAAAAATATTTAAGGGGTCGCAACTGTATGCAGAGATATATATAAGATATAATATACGGAGGTTTTGCCGAGGCTAACGGGGTCCCGTGACCCCTCAACCATCAACATAGGTCCGCCCCTGGATGTATAACCTATTATTACCTTGTGCTCGTGTATATTAGTGTCATTTTGCGTAGTGATGCATAGAAAGTGTTGTAAAAATGTTAGTCTTTTTATTTTTTGTGCTTAAGGAAAAGGAGATTAAGTCGTTGTTCTCCTTTAAAACATGCCAAAAGAAACAACCATATTATAATAAAGTCTCCCTTTGCCTTGCTGATAAAAATTTATTCATACCGGGTATTTATACTAAGCTAATGCATGTGCACATTCAATTTTTACACTTAACCATCACTAAGAGATATATAATTGTGGAAAGATCGGAATTCATAATCTCTCCACGAAAGAGGGTTAATTTGACATATGGTCACAATTAAAGTGAACTATTTTTTATTACATACCACTATAACATTCAAATTATAAACCTTTTTCGTTATGTTGAAGCAACTGACTTCGAGCGCATAGTCGTAATAGAGCATGGCTGTTGCTCATCTCGGGTATCAGTCTAACTTATCCTTGCCTTGTTGCAGTAGAAACTATATATTACTTGCACTTTAACGGCAGCCCGTTTCACTAAGCTCCCGCTATGCGTCGGGTCCGGAAAAAGACCGAACCATAAGGATCTATTATACGCAGTCTTACCCTTTCTCAACTAAAGATGTATCCATCACTCATTTGTCACGCGTACTCCCTGTTCAATTACAGGCAAAAAATCTTCCTATCAAACAGTCTCGTGCTACCGAATGATGATGAATTACTTCTATTTAATAGGATATTTAACTCGAAAATAAAATCTCAAAGATCCACGTTATTTTCATTCAACCGCTACAAGATCATTAATTCCATAAGTTTGGACTTCTGTTGCTGACATAAAAACATCTCTTTCCATATATTAGGATACTAACACATGTAGAACAATAAGAATATCAAGAATCAATTTGCACCCTATGTGAAGGTTACATTAAGATCAAGTTATCGAAGACAGATGTCAAAGAATCATAGGCAGATGGAGCATGGGTTAAGTTGAACCACTAAAACCAGCAGTTTCGACACGGGGCACAAATACATATGTTAAAAATACTAAAATTCCAACAAGTAAAAGTTATGAACCCATAATTTCATAAATGCATTAGGTTCAGTTGTAAGAACTTTAAGGGTTAAACCCATCGAGTTTCAATCTCAGATCCACTTCCAGAAAGGAAGCGGTACACCACACCTGGTACCACATTAGCTCAACCAATTTACAGAGTAATGGCAACAGTAATGTTTTTTTTGTTTCGCACCAAACTTTACAGCGAATGTAGATTTAAACACAAAGTCTTTACACAGACTGGTGTATTTACCCGAGGTCTAGCGACTATGTTTCAAAGTAAGAACCTAGACAATGTAGGTATGGAGCATGCATACTTACAGGTTGCCAAATGCACCATAACTATCCACTAGTGACGAAGGAATCATCTTATCAAAATATGGGGGTAGCACCCATCTTCTTGCCGGTGTATGTCCTGGAGCACTGGTGGTTTTTATTATAAGAAGATGAAGGCTTGATGAACGCTCTGTGCAATCTGGATCTGTTCAGGTGAACCAGATATGATCACCTTTCCATCACATTCTCCAGGACCTGGATCTTGTAGAACGACTGCGGCTCCAGAGATCTGATCCATAACATAGAAAACAAACGCAATGAATATAAACTTATAACATCATGTTAACCACCTGCTCCTGACCCTAAAATGAAAACCTTGAGCTCGGAATCAAATTAATTCGACCTAGTTCTCTTTCCTCACCCATCCCTTTGCATTCTGTTGCTCTCATCTGTTGCCCTCTCTTCTTTTTTTTTCCTTCATTTTATTCCTTTTCTTTTTGGGAGGGTGTTGAGTTTACCTCTTTCAATCGAGCCAAATTGGAACCATTCTCGCCATAAACAGAACTAAATTTTTGTCCTGAAACAGTGATCACAATGGTTTTCTTTGCTACCCCATTCTCATCCACCCTGCTCAGCCAATGAAAGAGCAAGAAACATCACAAAGCGGAGATATGTAGCCTCAGCAGAATATAAACATAGAACTAGATTGATCTTGAAGGTCAATTGCCATTATAGTACTTTTCATGTTTACTTTACGGGAAGCCTTACAAAAACAGCTATCTCAAGGAGAATACGAAACATCGCATTTTTCCTTTTATTTCAGTTTTGATTGCAAAAAGAAAAAAAAATCAGGTATGGAGTTTCTGTTATAAGACAATACAAAAATATTTAATAAGTTTGGTATTTAATGTCAGTCACAACTCAAACCTTCCACTTTCAGGTCCACCTTGAGAACTCTTCCAGCCACCCATGCTTTCTTTGATTGTCTTGCCATTCGATCTATGCATGGACTGCACAATAAAAAACCGTCAAGCATTAAATCCCCATAGACGTATTCCAGACAAAGAAGAAAAGGAGGGAGTGAACAGGATACAGCTTTCAAACCTGTTTGTCCTGTAATAACGAATGAGGAACACCAAGATTTGGCACAAAACCAAGATGATCCATTTTATCAAGAGAAGAAAAGCTGTGATCCAACTGAGAAGGCATACTAGTACCAATTTCATGGAGACTTCCATGGGAGCACGAAGAATAAGGATAATTTCTAGGTACTGCTTCTTCAGAAACCAAACTGGAAAAGAAGGCCTCCCTCAGCCTACCAGTAAGTTGAAAAAGGGCACTCTTCACGCTGTCATGCTCGCCAACAATCTGTAGGATAATTGCCTTTATCTTCCAGTTGCAAATAAACCAGACATGAATGTAAAAGTATTTCAAAGTCAAACGTTGCAAGAATCCCACTAGAAAATGTCAAAAAGATGGAGGGTTAAAATCACATCTCAAACTCTTTGCATGTTAACCTCACCACCATTAAGATTCTGTAAGCTCGCTGGACAATAAACTTATAGGTTAGCAAGAGGTACTTCCTCTTATAATTTTTTGATTGGTTTAGGACTTTCCCTTCTAGTTAATCAGAGCTCAAGAGAGTCCCTGCCTCAACTTTCTGCAACTAATGGATTAAAACATGAGCCCCATTGATAACCTTTTCAAACCCATTTTAATACAAATTTTGTACCACAGAGAGTTACACAAGGCGCACCTTTTTTTGTAACCGTGAAATTTCTGAGCTAAAACACGGTTCAAATCTTGGTGGATAAGAGGTTTGTTCCTCTATTCTTCTCAACTTAAATACTGGCTTTCGAACCCGTGATGTGCGCCTAACACATACATCACATGTTGCGCTCTTACCGCTAGACCAACTCTTGGGCACATAAGGCCCACTTTTCTCCAATTCATAATTCAAAAGAAAGAAAAAGCCAAAAAGTTATCAATGGACCAGTGGTCTTCACCTTCCATTCAAGGGTATATGTTTTCATCTTCATAGTTAGACTAAAATCACATAGAATAAAATTGTCTTGTAGGACCTTCAATCTCTTGGAATCCATGCAAACTTAGCGCAAATAGTGCACAATGGAAGAAAAAAATCAATATTTGGGATACTAATTAGGTGTAATTAAGGGTTAGTTTATTCTCATTAGAGATTTATATGCAAGTAGAAAATATATAGAATTTTAAGTGCTAAAGCCTAAATCTTCAAATATAGGATCGCTACAGGTCTAAAATGGAACGACATGATTCATGAGTATCCACACACACACACACATACAAATACACATACATACACACACATATACAACAACACACACATACACACATATATACATATAATATATGTCATATATAGCGGACCACAACTAGCTTGAGGTTTCGTTATAGTTGGTACATGTGCCAAGTCTACTATAGACATTCAATTTGCAAAGGAGAGACTACCTTATAAAAATATTACCCATAAACTTACCTTCAAAATATAGGGATAAATGACCTGTCTACCTTTCTCCACTTGAATATCAGGCTTAGTCCGCATGGCGCAAGCTCGAACTTGTGACCTTTGCCACTTGAACTAAGCCCCGACGCACTATTTTAGTACTTTTTATCACTACTTCTTTCAAGTTTTGCAGAAAGAGACATATACACACATAGACACACTATTAGTTCTTTCAAGTTTTACATTAACAAATAATTTTCAGCTTAATTTCCTTAATTATTTTTTGATATGGTACTTTGCTCCCTTAGTGGAGGTGCTTTCCACAACCTTAATTTCCTTGATTATTGTAATTACTGATTACAGATTAATGAACACATCATAGCAGATAGATTTTGGTTAAAGAACTTTTTCTAATGGAATTATTAGTTTAAGTTTGATTACAAGAACTACAATAAGAATATGATAGGTATTTATAGACCAGACTGAACCTGCCAGTTCAATTGGTTAAACTGGAAATTGGGCAGCCAGACAGGCAGTCCAGTTAGATGTGAAAAAAGCAAAAACGCATTCAAGGATAAGGATTGTTGGGTTTTGCCAGCTAGTTGGATCTCAGTGAATGACATGATTTTCATCTCCTCTTTGTAATTACCATTAACTAGAAACATCTACTAGACCTCATAGCTGAACAGCAACTTGTAAGCTTCACAGTTCAAGTTTAAAAACAGGTTATATGGGTAGTTGGATTGACTGCTTTGTAATATCATCTCAAGCAGCAACAACTTCCATAACAAGAACAGGAGACATTAAACTAGAGCCAAGGTTAGTGCAGTTTCCACTTGAATTATTGCAACTTGGGTTAGTGCAATTTATCTGAAGTTCAAAAAGTTGGGTTAGTGCAAAAATGCAAGCATAACAAGAATAGAAAGTTCGCTCCGCTGCATAAGATCCTCAAATCAACCACGACATTTGATGGGACAAACCCGTGTGGGTAAATGAAAAGTCGAACAAAAATAAGGAGAAAAAGACAGAAAATGCAAGAATGAAAAAAAAACGAGAAAAGAAAGGAAAAGTCAAAGTTGGTGAGCTGAAAATGTGAAAGAAAAAGTTCGGCGCATAGGTTGCAGTGTCGTTCTGCCACGTATTCACATTCGCTAAAATCTTTTTCAGCAGACGCGCTGCCTATAAATAGGCATTCTCTTTTCAATTGTAAATCATCTCTCAACTTCTTCTTTCTCTTCAATTAATAAAGAGCTATTCTTTGTGTGGCCGTATAGTAGGCAAAAATTGTCGAACCACGTAAATCTTGTCTTGTCTTGTGCAATTTATTTCTTTTCTCTTTAAATATATTTTTCTCTTTCTATTAGCATGACACGCTTCCCAACATTATCTGGCAAGATAAGTGAAAATATAATGGTTGCAATAACAGCAGTTATGCTATGTGCGATTGTCTGGCTGTTGCAATAATTGAAGCAAGATGACCTTTTTTCTTTTTTAAGAAGTCGA